TTTTGTTTTGCCATAACTATATGACATTTATTTTATGCCTAAATAGTTAAAGTGCAGTGCTAATTTCCTAAATATTTGTCCTGCATGCAAAGATGTTCCATTAAAAAAACAAAGAATTAAAAAGAATGGAATTATGTGCCTGAGAGACTAGTAATGTATGGTCAGAAATAATTAGGAGCAAAACCCTGGAATTTAGTGCATTCATATTTCTAGAAATGTATGCATGTGAAGAATAGTTACCACTTTCATGGTTCTGGTTATGTGCCTAGAACTGTTCTAAACACTGGAGTTAGTAACTTACTTCTCAGCTCATACACCTCCGTCATAGATGTTAATGTTATACCTGTTTCACTCAAGATCACCTACTGACTTATCAACAGAACTGAGCTTAGCTTAGCTTCGAGATTCATCATTTTTAACCAGTACCTTCTATCGCCTTGTCCGAAAGACAATCTCTCTTCCAAAATTGGCTAAAAAAATGGTGTTTCATTCTAGATACATGACTTTTATGATTGACAAGAATATGAAAAGAAATAATTGTAAGTTCATTTACTATAAGACACAGAAAATTAATTGAGTCAGTCAATATTTGTAGAGAAATAAGAAGTAATGTCCCCTACAATACATATCCCATGTAGTGTCTTTTGTGCCTTTCTTTGGGAATTACTACTGCTGCCACTTCTTAATATTTAAAAAGCATTTAGCCAGACAGACACATTCACAAATTATCTAATTTAATCACAGTAGCAAACATATGGGGGCTGATAATACCACTGTCACATTACACATGGGGAGACTAAGGCTCAGGGAGTTTAAATTATTCAACCCCTCAGTGTTAGAAAGTTATATAGGGCAGATACCTGGACCCGGGTGATTTGCCTAGAGAGCCCACACTATTTGTCATTATGCCTCTTACCATAATATGGGATAACCCATTGATAACCTACTCAGCATGATTTAAACAGGGGGAATAATTAGACTCCATAAGTATAATGCTTTTAAAAGCTTTATAAAAATATATTTTACATGTGGGGACAAAATGGTTTCTCAAATTTCCTTCTTTTTGAGTCTTTTTCATTGCTCTTAACTTGAAGATAGGCAGAAGACATTTTATAATGCTCAAAACATAAAATAGTTTACCTGATTTCAAACTTAACTAATAGTATATATGCCATTTACTTGGTTTTATTTTCTCAATTTAAATTGGTGATTTTACTATAAATTAGTATAAAATTAAAAGACATGATTTTAGTATAGTTTTTTTGAGAAATCTAATCAGGGCCCTATGTATAATAGATTTGTTGGACTGGGAGAAATAAATGGATGCTCATCTTAAAGAGTTAGTGTTTTTTGTTTTTTTTAATGTTAGCAGATTGGCTTCTTCATCCTGGTGAATCATTACCAAGATGACTTTGTGCTTGTGACTAGGAAAGCTGTTATAACTTTATTATTATTGTTATTATTATCATTACTGCATTTTGCATGTGTTCAGCAGCCAAGTAGATTCACTTAACAAACTGGTTGGTGTGCAGCACCCACAAATAACATTTACATAAATAAGAACAGCTGTGTAAAAATGTTGCCTTTGAAAAGATGAATTTACTGAGATAGAGATTATAGCGCATGCAGCTCCAGGCATAACCATGATGGCTGGACCGTTTCTCTCCCTCATGTGGTATTTTATGTCTATTGCCCTCAGAACCAGAAGACAGTGTGTTCATGGTAGCAAATGTTATTTCTTATCCTGTAAAACTGGTTTTATTACCACCTCCTGCTTTTAGTTACTGAAAACTTGCTAAAAATCCTCCTTGGAAGGTAAAAATTTTTAGTATTTGGCCTCTTGCAAAAGATTAGGCTTGAGTGAAAATAGTATTATTTAGGTTCTAAAAATAAAGTAATGCTTAACTTCATGTATTAAAAATTACTTTTAAATGAGAAAAAATTTTAGTGTTGGATTGTACTAATATTGCTCAGGCAACTCATCAGTATCAGGAAGTGCCAGTTTATGGCCTAATGAGGGTAAATTGACATTGGTTCCCCTGCCCCCAATAGTGTGCTAGAATTTAAACTTAAGTCAGTTGGATTTATTTAATGAGCATATAAATCAGAAAAATGTTGTGTTTTCTTTTTTTGGTGTTAAAATTTAGACAATTTTATTTTAAAATGTTATTCGAGTCTTACATATTAGGTGATGAAAATTGGTGATGGTGTACCTATATTCAGAATCATCTTCTGTGAATTTTTAAGTCTTTGGTTTTGCCATTTCATTTGGTACAAAATCTAGAGGTTGTCGGGAGGGTGTTGCTATGTGTTCACATTTATACTACGTTGAAAAGGGCAAGTTATTATTTAGACTTTGTTTGAATTTCCCAAGTGTGATCCTTTCAATCTATTTTTTTTAAAGAAGGTAATTTTCTTCTTTTAAAAGATTTTTATTTATTTTTAGAGAGAGGAGGAGGAAGGGAGAAAGAGAGGGAGAGAAACATCTGTCGGTTGCCTCTAGCACACCTCCTACTGGGGACCTGGCCCACAACCCAGGCATGTGCCCTGACAGGAAATCCAACTGGGGACCTTTCTGTTCGTTCTCAGGCTGGCACTCAATCCACTGAGCCACACCAGCCAGGGATCAATCTGTTTTTAGTGGCTTTCTTGGCAAAGATTTATGCAATTAAAAAAAGCAACAATTCTAAAATTTTTTTTTTAACTGTACTTCAGTCATCAAAGCTAGGTGGTTTTAGAAACATTATAATATTTGACCCTCACAGGACCCTGTGAATTAACAGCGTTATCCCCTTTTTACATATAGAAAAACTGAGGTTCCCAGAGTTTGCATCACCCGTCCAGTGTGAGTAGTATCACTGCCACACTGACCTAAATCCAGAACGCTGAATCACATTGTCTTCTCCTTGAAACCTGGCAATTTGCAGAAATCAAATCTAAAACAATTGTCCACTCTCATTTGATATTAGAAATGGCTTATTCCATACTCTTAATCTCATAAAATATACTAGAATATTTTTAGGATTAATAAACTAGGAATATTTTGTAAAATTAGATGGAAAATATGGTCTTAATTGTGTTTCAACCCATGCTTATTTAAACAAATACTTGTCTTAGGTTTAAATTTTGGTTTTCTAGTAATTATTTTAGCTGATAGTGTAATAAAAATATATACTCATGATATTTCTGATGGTATAGATTGTACAATTATATTTCTATGTGTGTGTATACTTATGTTTTCGCTACTGAGATGGAGAAAAAATTTGTTCTGTATACATAAATCTCTAGTATTATACTGTCAATTTGGATGTCTATTTGAGTGGGGTGAAGGAGGAAAAATGGGACAACTGTAATAGCATAAACAATGAAATATTAAAGTGCAAAAAATACAATTATTTGACAATAAAGCTTTACTATACAATTAGTTGAGAGAATCACTCCACCGATTTACATAGAGCAGCAGAATGAAATACTTAGCTTAGCTTGGAATAAAAATATAAGGATGCATCTATCATCCCCACCAACAGATTATTTAGAAACTGGGCTTGAAATGACTTGGAGGACATGCCTCTCATTTTCAGTCATGACACCATGGCCCTCCAGTTGCCTACGCTGCATCCTTGCTGAGGCTAAACTATCTGTTCTCTCTCAATCTCTCTCCCTGTCCCTCCAAGCACTAGTTTTAGAAGTATAGGCTTATATTATGTTTCATAATTTTTCCTACTAAGAACTTTCAGAAGCAGCAAGTGAATCTTTCTCAGCCACTGGAAATCAAAGATTTGTTAATGTTTATCAAGAAAGTTTATAGTAATAAAGTTTTTGTATTTTTCACAATGATCATAATGTCCATAGAAATATTACGTCCGTAATATTCCCTTCCCATGTTCTCGTTACACTGACCATCAGCCTGGAAGCCATTCACAGAACCTGTGTAAAATGACCACTGAATGGCAAATTGATAAGTTGCTGCCCTATCTGCTGGCTCCCCTGCTCCTAGAATCTCTGGAGGGCCGGGGGCTCTTTCTGTATGCGTTTGTAAACTTCCTCCCTCAATTCGGTTCCTCCCCAGAGTTCCTCTGTTCTTGGGACGAAGTTTCCAATATACAGGCAGAGGCTCCTTCCTGGGGAATGAGAGCTGACTGAAGAGACACAACACAATGGCTGCCTTCATGCAGAAAATACAATTTTGAATTTTACATCTTCCTTTTGTGGTATAATTTGAGACGAGCTCTGGTAGAACAAAATCTACAGCTAGCTTTATATTTTTGTTTGGTTTGTCTGAAGTTTCTCTTTTTCATAGTTGATCACTAAAGCAACAAAACAAAGGAAAAGAAAAATAGCCTTTTTGTGAGTGATTAATGAAAGGATAAGTAACTATGTCAATTATGGAATAAAGCCAAAGTAGTTTTGAAGAATTTTGTTTTTGTTATAACCATTGCTAAAAATGAACTCTTAGGCAACTTTAAACACCCTCATGAATAATTAACTTCCCTGAAATATAATTGAGTCAAATAAACACTCCATTTTTAAACCATTTCAAGAATGGATTTTATGGAGCCAATTCCCAAGGACTTCCTTGATGATGTGGTCTAATTGCATTCCTGTGAGCAAAGGTCTTTCTTTATCGAGGCCTGGCATGATGTGCATATACTCTCTGGATATGTCCACCAAGCCAGTGCAAAGAACAGGAATTCCAGGCTCATTCTTTGAGCCTGACAGGGGCAGCTTCACCCGTTAAGATCTTCCTGGTCACAGTGGGAGTCACTTAGATAATTGTGCAAGTGGCTCTAAAAATACTGTGAAATAATAAAGAGAAAAATATGGGGTATTTTTTATAAGCTGAAAACATCTGAATATGGTAGTCTCTTAAAACTCAATAATTTCATATAGCAAATACCAACAGTTTGAATTACATATTAATTTCTAATATTAAATTGTGTTTGGAGTTTCAAAAGTATAGCTATTTTGTGAAATGATTTTATTTTCTTCTTCCTTTGTAGGTAACCCATTAACTAAGAATAAATCAAGGGATCCTCAAGGCTGATTACATTGAACATATGCATAAAAACTTCACCTCAGAAGTTTTCTTGAAGGAAGATTTTTATACTGCTCAGAAGAGGCACTCCAGACTCTTATTTCCAAGGGATTTCATGGCTCGTAATCAGCATTTTCTTGAAATCAAGACTTACAAAAAGTCAGAAATGAACTTCTATGTCATGAAGAGTTCCTCAGATTTGAACTGTGTTCAGCTTGTAAAATTGCACTTGCTATAAGAATCTGAAGTCGCCATCTGAAGAGTTGGTGTTTCCGGGTATGTCAGAGACACTTGCCTTTTGGGCTCTCGGCTCCAAATGTGACTGCTTTTCTTGTTTCTGAAAGTCTCCCAAGTGCACTGGCCTTCTGTCATGGATGTGTTCCTGGGTCTGGTCCTGTGTTCAGTGGCTAGTGGGACTGTATATGGCTTTAGTGACATTTCCTTTACAAACTTCTCCTCTGGCATGGTGTGGACTGAGATTATTTTATTTGTATCCTAATCTTGGAGCTCTGAAAGCCTACATGTTTTAACATCTTAAAATTGCTTTTGTTAAAGGAATGGAAAAATATATCCAGTGATAATAATTATTGTTGGCAAGTAATAGTTACCTGAATACATCAATCACATAAGAATGTATAGACTAGCTGACATGTTTCCCCAAGGCTAACACACTACTGCAGCTCTCTGTCAGTTAAATAAGTAGTAGTTAGAACTGAATTACCGTTTTCATTATATACTATTTTGTACCTCTAGAGCACTCTCCCTTTCTGTTTTTTTTTTAAAGTGGGCTTTTTCTTTTTTTCCTTTCTGTGTTTACTTTTTTCTTTCACAGAAATCAACAGTGAGCCAAGTATTTAGGTAGCCTTCAGTTTTAAAAATTGCCAGGGATGCATGTGGATTTCTGATTTCTTAGCTTGAAAGTTATTCACATACTTAACATTTCTTCTAATGTTTTTTTAAACTGCCCTTTCTATCTCATTTTAAAAGACTGTCTCTTGCTCGATCCCAATGACTGTTTGAATGCTGTTTGTTCAGTCTGTTGATAAAATAAATTGTTCATTTTCCTTGGTCTCAATATTACAAATATTTGCTTATAGTTGTCCCATTCCAATGATTTCTTAATTCAGTTTTTGCCCACATTTTTTTGGTAGTCATTTTAACATTTGTGGTTTTCAGTTCTACAGGAAAGTTTTATAAATATTTAAAGGCCTTAAACACGTATGTACCTTTTTTCCTAAGTTATTACAGAATGTATAATTTTATACTACATTTACTTTGTTTCATTTATGATGTGAAGGGAAAGAAGAATGGAAATTGCAAAGCCATTCTGTAATAATATTGTGCAAATCTTGCTTGAAGGAATGTAAACAGAGGGATGTTTGTGTTCTGCACATCTTAGGCTAATAGGAAGATACTTCATAATCATCCTATTAAGAGTTCCATCATGTAAGAGAAGGTGTGGACACCTTTTGTATTTCTGAAGCTCACTGACATGGGCGATTAGGTATATGTTGGTTTCCATGATGGAGGCTGAGACAGTCTGGAGACCTTTGGTCTGTTAGTTGGTAACAACTTTCAAAGACTGATATATTATCTAGAATCTTTTATGGGCAGAAGAATTAAAAGTGTTAAAATTTGTTCAAAATTAAATTAGTAAAGTATGCTTTTGACATTGAACTAAAGTATACTGCCCTACAAGTCAATGAAATGACTTCCTCCTTTCATTTTAATTATGCATAAAACTAATTAGATGGTCCACATGGATTTTTGCAATGGTTCAATACTGTATGAAGTTGAAGACAGGAATAACAGTTATGCTGGAGTTGCTGCATTAATTATATCATTAATATATTTGGAACAAAGAAGAAAACCGTATTATTTTGGAAATCATGAATTTGTCCTAGCTTTGTTGAAATTATAGATCATGCCTCTCATTTATTAAACTGTCCTTTAAAACAACACTGAAAATTCTGTATTATATATAAGTGTAATACATGCATATCAATAGAAAAAAAATAAATGGAATTTCAAATATATTAACTAGATTATCCCCAATAGATTAATGTTGTGACTATTCAGAAAAGGTTAATAAAGTTGGGATATAAAATGGACTCTCTTTCATGAATTATATTTGGAGAATGTTTTCTAGTGTTTTATTTTAAAAGCACTTCAGTTACAGTGGAGGAAAACCTCTGAATTCATGTGGAAACTGACATAAATTCTTCAACCTTTTTAAATAAAAATCCATGGCAAATCTCACCATTTACACAGGTGTCAATATTTGATAGCTTAAGATTCACAAGAAGTTATGAAAATAGCACAGGGACTCTGTGTACTCTTTCTCTCTCATCCCCCAGTGATAACATCTTATAAAACCATGATATCATCAACCGAGGATTTGACTTTGGTACAATAATACTATTAACTCAAATACAAACCTCCTTCATATTTCACCAGTTTTCGCATATGCTTTGTTTGTGTTTGTGTGTGTGAGATCTTACCCTTTTTGAGTAACTTGGTACCTATGCACTGTAGTTTGCCAGGATGTGGTTTAGGGTGTGAGTATGCAACAATGAGTAACTGATCTGTGATAACTTTTTGAGGTTCTCTGTTTTTGGAATAATATCCTATAGGTTTATTTTCTTTATTTTTATATATTCTTGTTGCCTGAACATGAAAACTTCCAGTTTTAACACAAGACAGTACAATTTATGATTTTAAGTTTGGAATCAGTTTTAATAGGTAGGAGAAGATCTGAGAATGTGTGTTTCTGGATGAGTGATCCTGTTCTTTATTTGATCAGCAAGTCCTTTGCTACTGTACAATGCTATACAGGTGGATTGTGATTTTTTTATGATGCACGATAGCTAATAGCATGATTAAATTGGACTTCTTAAAAGTTTTATTTTCTCACTTTATAGATGATATGTCAATCTGAAAAAGCAATATATGCAAAGATATCAAATAGTATTTTTCATCATCCAGCCCTTTCTCATTTTGATTCACTTCAGTTGAGAGAATTAGAATGATAGCAGACACTTTAGAGAAACTGAAAAATTAGGGAGACATATATTGGGCATCTCCTTCTCCCCTTAACCACACAGAGAACTCATAGAACATGACTATTTGTATCAAGGTAAGAGTTTGCCTGTCTGCCTTCCTTTCTTCCGTTCTTCCTTTTGCCTTTCCATCCTTACTGTTGTTTTGCATATAGAATGCTTTGAGAAAGTAAGGTAGCAGATTTCTTCTTTATTGCATTGACTTGCACTGTAGGAGACTATAAAAAGTAGTGTAGTATACAATTATCTGACATTTAACACACCATCATTAAATTCTTACCAGGCACAAGGATACGAGATATTTGGCTATATTGAATTTTGGAGTTAGCTGAATCTTAGCCTTAAAAATGGCCTTTAAATTCAATTCAATAGATATTTTTTCAGTGTCCTATATGTGTACTATGCTAACCAATAGAAAGTGGGTACACATAAAACCTATAGTATTTCATATTCCTTTTGACTTTTTTTTATATCTGATTTTCTTCATTATGTTGCAAATTACTAAATAGTATGCACTATATCTTAAGAATTTTTTTTCTGGAAGGTCTTATCTGTTATACAACATGGTTGAACTTTATTCTGAACGTTATATGAGCAGGGCAATGCATGTCCAAAGTTGTACTTTACAGGTTTTAGAAAAAAGGTGATTGAAATTGAGCTTGAAGAAAAGTTAGAGAGGACTAAAATAATCTAGGGCAGCGCTAATATGGGCCTGAGCTGGGCTATTACACTGAGGAGAATGTGAAACAATGGGTATCAATCCTGGTTCCAATTTAAATTGGTTGAACATACTAAAAATTATCCATGTGCTATTCAGCCCTCTGAGAGTCTCTTAATCTAGGACAAGAGTCTGGGCATAGGTATTTTTTTTTTTTTTTAAAAAGCTCTCCAGGTGATTCTAATGAATATCTAGGGTTAAGAACCACTAATTAAGAGTTTCACCAAGGTAGAAATCAGGAGTTGGGTGAAAAGATTACATGAGTGAAAGGGAGATGTGGAAGAAAACTTTGGAAGATTCTGAACTTCCTAAAGTGGGATAACAGAGCTCCAGTTAAGTATAAGATAAAAACCTGACTGAAAAACAAACTGTGAGTGGCAAGTGGAGAAAATGAGTTTATTTTTTAAGCATATTGAGTTTAAATTGCCAATGATACATTCAAAAAGGTCATGTCAGATAAGAAGTGAACAGGTTTTATTGGAATTGTAATGAGAGACTATTGTTGGTCTTGAAAAAAAACAGTTTCAATGAAGTGCTTATTGTAAAACTGAGATTTCAGTGGGTAGGAGCATGAACAACGGGTGTGAAAGCAGAAAGAGCACAGGTAGGCTTCCTGTTCCCTGGGGGTTGAGAAAGAGAGGTAGGGTGGTGGTTATGCAGGGGAGGCAGAATTGAAAGAGTGAAGTTTTCTTAATGTAGGAGGAATAAGTATATGCTTATGTATGCTGCAAGGGAGAGAGAAGAATGGGATTAAAAATTTAGGAGTGAATAAAAATTTGATGAAGGCAGGGGTATCCTCATAATGTATGAGGAATGAGCAGGACCAAATCTATAGAAAATCTACTGGGATGTGAACAATGGGTAGGCACTTGATGTTTAGGTCTTTGGTGACCTTCAACAGACTAGTGCTGGTGTATGATAGACACTTAATCAAAGAATCAAAGAGCAATAATTGGAGTTGATTTGTACATGAGTGAGTTTCCAGTTGTACCTGGGCTACTGAGACTTAGAAAGTTAATGATTCCAAGACTATAAATAGATAAGCAAGAGAAAAATTAACGTAGTCTCAGTATCCTTATTTGTAAAATGAAAATACCTCACAGGATTATTTTGAATAATTAATGAGTTAATATATGTATAGTGCTTAGCATAATATCTAATGCATGGTAAATATTAAGCTAAATGGTGGTTCTTCAACTGTGGAAGATGTCACAGTTTTGTTTACTCTGTAATCATGTAAAATCATGGTGACAGAAAATAATATATATGATATAAAGGAAATAGGGCCTGGTTGGTATATGTGTTAAATAGAAGAAGAAAATATAGGGGCATTACATTAAATCATTTTTTTTCCTAAAATTGAATGGTTACAGGTAGGTAAAAGAATAACCTTTTTGACAGGAGAGGACAGAATGGATTATAGGATGAATACAAGGATTTAGCAGAAAATGAGAAAATGATAAAGGAGGTGATAAATTAACATCCTGGAAGAAGAAATAGGTGGAGCTGGGAATATTAAGTGGAAGTGTTCATGTGGGTAGAATAACATTTCTTCTGTGAGATAAATGAACAAAGGTGAGTGAATCTAGAGAGAAATTTAAAACTGAGGCCAAGGGGAAGAATGCTAGGAATAAGGAGGGATCCATTGATTTATTAACAAATAGTTTTGTTCTCCTTCCATGTGCCAAGAAATGTGTTATATGCAGGAAAAAAAATAAATGGTAAGCTTTACCTACTTTTCAAACAATATCCTCCTGCTCTTTATCTTAAGAATCTTTAAATAAATTCCCCAGATCACTGAGGTAGCATAGGGGGAAGAGAGAGAGAGAGAGAGAGAGAGAAGCTGAAAGTAAAATGGAGAAATCAAGGAACAGGGAGGTCCAATTCTTCCTCCAAAAAGTCTACTGTTTTGATGAGAATGGGCCATATTAATAATTGGAAACCTCAGTAATCCCTGAGTATGTTATAGAAAACAGACTTTAACAACTAGTTTATATTCTTTAT